TCGACGATGAGAGCATACCCCTTGACACCAATCGCAAAGCCGTCCCCAAGTGTCAGTTTAATCGAGAATTGGCTTCTTTTAGGAGCTTCACGGATAGACATTTCGTCAAGGAAGCGAGTAAAACCATCGATCACTGTAGGTATGGTGGTAATCTGCTCATCTCCTGCATCACCGTCACCCCGGGAGAGAATTTCAGTGTAGTGTTTGGTCACATCAAAGGGTTTATCCGGCATGCCCAAGAAGAAGGGCTCGACCGTCGTACCCAAAGCATAGAGGTCCTGCCAAAATGTTGAGTCACCGATAGAAGGAGGTTGAAACACGAACTGCAAGGTTTTGTTTCGCTATGCGGTCAAGTTGAACGTTCCCTTTATGGGGATTGTCCTCATCTGTCACCAAGAATACTCTCTTTGTTGCCGTCTTTGGCGCCCTGCAACGTTACATTCAGACTCGAGCTGCGTAGATATTTTAAGTGCACATACTGGTCGCGAAGTAGCCAATTACAGGCACTAAAAACATCGCCCATAGGCACATGTCGATTCCAGGACCGGAATTTTTGATCAAGCGGGACTCTTCCGCTCTCTGCGTCTGTTGGGTATGAGATACCTACTCGGACGAATGGTGGAGGGCTTGCCATCGAGAATAGAAGCGATATTTTGTATCGAATCAGCGGATACTTGGGCTATTGGCTGAAAAACTGATATATGTGGCTTCAATTGACGCTCTTGTGTGTCTTCTTTCTTCTCTTCTATCTAATACTGCTCAACAAATCTGGTCGAGAGTATGAACGTAGCGAACCAACTGTATTGAAGAGCAATATTCCAACCATATCATCAGGTCCATAAAGAGCTTTGCGCTTTTGTAATTCCACCACGGAACGTAGTGTGGCAAACAAATGGCTGTGGTTCGCGCCGACGTCCTCTTCGTCGTCCTTTGATAACTTTGGCGCCTTCTTTCTAGAACCTCTCTTTTGTGGAGCAAGCATAGATGGTGAACAGTCTACAGCAATGAGGACGACATCCTTCATTGCTTCTCCATACTGAACAATGTAGTCGCAGTTAGTTAGCGCATCCTCTACGAGAATTAGAACGGTTTAAACACATACCCCGCCTAGTTGGAGCTCATCCTCGTCGT